TGGGTTGAGTTGGGTTGGGTTGGGGTGTTGTCTTCTTCTTTGTCCTCCTTGTTCTCCTCCTCCTCGTTCTCCTTGAGCTTCTTGTCCTCCTTGTTCTTCTCCTTGTCCTTCTCCTTTTCCTTGAGCTTCTTGTTCTTCTCCTTGTTCTTCTTCTTGACTTCCTTCTCCTTGAGCTTCTTGTCCTCCTTGTTCTTCTCCTTGTCCTTCTCCATGAGCTCCTTGTCCTTCTCCTTGTTCTTGTCCTTGTTCTTCTTCTTGTCCTTCCCCTTGAGCTCCTTGTTCTTCTCCTTGTCCTTCTCCATGAGCTCCTTGTCCTTCTCCTTGTTCTTGTCCTTGTTCTTCTTCTTGTCCTTCCCCTTGAGCTCCTTGTTCTTCTCCTTGTCCTTCTCCATGAGCTCCTTGTCCTTCTCCTTGTTCTTGTCCTTGTTCTTCTTCTTGTCCTTCCCCTTGAGCTCCTTGTTCTTCTCCTTGTCCTTCTCCATGAGCTCCTTGTCCTTCTCCTTGTTCTTCTCCTTGTGCTCCTCCTGATTCTTCCCCTTGAGCTCCTTGACTTCCTTCTCCTTGACTTTCTTCTCCTTGTCCTCCTTCTTCTTCTTCTTCTTGAGCTCCTTGTCCTCCTTGAGTGTTCTTCTCCTTGTCCTTCTCCTTTTCCTTGAGCTTCTTGTTCTTCTCCTTGTTCTTCTTCTTGACTTCCTTCTCCTTGAGCTTCTTGTCCTCTCCCTTGTCCTTCTTCTCTTCCTTCTCTTCCTCCTTGTTCTTCTCCTTGAGTTTCTTGTCCTTGTCCTCCTCTCTATTCTTCTCCTTGAGCTCCTTATTCTTCTCCTTGAGCTCCTTATTTTTCTCCTTGATCTTCTCCTTATTTTTCTGCTTGTTCTTCGCCTTGTTTTTCTTCTTGACTTTCTTCTTCTTCTCCTCCTCCTTCGTCTTCTTGAGGGCCTTGTTCTTCTCCTTGGCCTCTTTGTCCTTCTTCTTGTCCTTCCTGTTCTTCTCTTTGTTCTCCTTGTCTTCCTTGAGCTCCTTCTTCTTCTCTTTGTCCTTCTCCTTGTCCTCCTTGTTGTTCTTCTTGTTCTTCTCCTTGAGCTTCTTGTCCTCCTCCTTGTCCTCCTCCTTGACTTCCTCCTACTTGTCCTTCTTCTCTTCCTTCTCTTCCTCCTTGGCCTTCTCCTTCTGTCCTCCTCTCTATTCTTCTCCTTGAGCTCCTTATTCTTCTCCTTGAGCTCCTTATTTTTCTCCTTGATCTTCTCCTTATTTTTCTCCTTGTTCTTCTCCTTGTTCTTCTTCTTGACTTCCTTCTCCTTGAGCTTCTTGTCCTCCTTGTTCTTCTCCTTGTTCTCCTCCTGATTCTTCCCCTTGAGCTCCTTCACTTCCTTCTCCGTGACTTTCTTCTCCTTGTCCTCCTTGAGTTCCTTGTCCTCCTCCTTGTTCTTCTCCTTGAGCTTCTTGTCCTCCTCCTTCTCCTTCTTCTTGAGGAACTTCCTCCTCCTTGTCCTTCTTCTCTTCCTTCTCTTCCTCCTTTTCCTTCTCCTAGAGCTCCTTGTCCTTCTCCTTGTCCTCCTTGTTCTCCTTGTCCTCTTTTTCCTTCTCCTTGAGCCCCTTTTCCTTCTCTTCCTCCTTGACCTTCTCCTTGACTACTTTGTCCTCCTTGTCCTCCTCCTTCTTCATCTCCTCCTCCTCCTTGTCCTTCTCCATGACTTTTGTTCTCCGTGTCCTCCTTGAACTCCTTGACTTTTGTCCTCCTCCTTGTTCTTCTCCTTGACTTCCTTCTCCTTGAGCTCCTTGTTCTTCTTGAGCTCTTTGTTCTTCTCTTCAGCCTTCTCCTTTTCCTCCTCCTCCTCCT